TTAAATTATTGAATCTACTGAAATGAGTCGAATTATTTACCAACTAGGGGTAATTTATACCTGAAGGTACGATGTAATGTGATTAATTTTAATACGGATGTTGGTGGCTATTTGATGAGTCTGTTTGAGACTGTAGGATGATTTTATTAAAATTCGCTTTGTTTTATATTATAGATATAGCTGACACCCTAAGCCTGTTGCTCTATTTTTCCATTTGCCAGTAATTTTATATGGGTTTTTCATGACTTGACGTGAAATTATTGCTCAAATTGAGTTGGCCTTCACCTATTGAAGAGAAAACATAGACTTAAGGAGATGTAGTCAATTCTAACTCACCAATTTCATGTTATCTTGCTAAAAAAATTTCCGTAGTTAATAGCTTGACGTTTAAAGGCCTAAGTTTCATTATATGTTTTAATCGATTTGATGTATATGGTTTGAGTGTAATTGTAAACAATGTAAATTTATGTGTAGTCACAACGCTAATGTTTCAATTTTTTTTTTTAAAAGAAAATACAACCTCCATCTTTAGTTGAATGGTACCCCAATCCACAGAAATAAAAACTTATAAAAATATTAAATCAAGCAAACTCTATCTTTTTTTATTTTTATTTTTATCAATTCTTCTAAGTTAGCTCAAACTCCTTCGGTTTGAATAAATAAATAATCCATAACCTAACTAGGCGTCAACTCGTAGTTATTTTATAAGCACACAACTACCGATAGATTCAAACTTATAGTTTCTTTAACCAATACTAATACTCCAATGATAGTCCATAACCTAACAGTTCTCGTGTAAGATTTAAAGTCTAAGCTCTGATACCAAACCTATAACACCCCCAAATTAACCCTAAAATGCATTACTATCTACAAACTATCCAATCATGAGATCAACTAAAAATAACCATTTAGATAATAAAAATCATTCATCCATCTAATAAAGAATAAATACTAAATTCAATAAAACATTGTAGTTTCTCCAAACTTACAATTCAAAACCAAATCATAATTAGCAGCACAGTAATTAAATATAATGAAAACAATGTTTCATATCCAACTCTAAAAAAGTCTAGACTACGAAGAAGAATCTTTAAGACTCCATGTTAGGATCCACATACTAATCATCTTCAATCTTGAGGTCAATTTGATTCGACATCCTCCTCTCCTTCAAAATCTGTAAATATTGTTGTAGGGGAGAGCAAAAATCAGTAAGAAATCTCCCTCAAATTTATATAAGGTTTTAAAATCCACACTACCTTAAAATGTCCACAAAAATGAAAAACTTTTGATTGACTATAATACGCTTAACAAACTATACAATACTTGTGACTTATATTCATCCTCCAAACTTGAATTCTTCCTTCATATTCTTGAGTTCAATACACTATCCATCATAAATGTATCCATGACTATTTCTTAATGTCCCCCCCACTATTTCTTAGAACCTTTACCTTCTCACCATAACATCTCTTATAGTTGTCATTCTTTGCATATCGAATATCTTAATTTTGTTTCATGAATAAAACAATTGAAAATAATAGTTTTTATAAAACAAGGTAAATTATGTGAAATTAAATTAAATAATAAATTAGACGTCAAATAATTAATCTGTATTTTAATTATTATTTATTTATTCTATAAGTCTTTGAGTACCTAATTATATTATAGAATTATTAATTTTTATTTTGTTAAATAGATTGATTAAATCATTTATAATATTATTATATTATTGCATATTAAAAAATAAAATATAACACATATTTGATTCTGAAATTCAATCTGGCAATTACATGTGCATAATAATTTAACATGTACAAGACTTTACTTATTCATAGAAATATAGAATATTATATACAATTGTACTACTAATAAACAAATCCAAAAGAATTTAGAAGTCTTTATAAAAGACTCCAAAACAAGTTAAAATTGAAATAAGAATAAAAAATAAAAATTAGATGAAAGTATATAGGTGGCTATAATTGACTTTATTATAATAATTAGAGATAAAATAGGATATCAAATTTAAATACATTAGAAAATAATTATTGTTTTAAGGTATAAAAAAATTTAAACATTTGAAGTTACAACATTGTATTTAAGAGAGAAATAAAAAATATTGATAATTATTGTAACTTTTATATTATGTAGAATTCACTTGCATATACACTCTAACATATCAATAGGGTGGATGCTTTGATAATTAAATATATAACTTACTTGGATTTTAATTTTAAATAAAATTAAGTATAAAATTACATACAACAATTTGTGAGTTTTTTTTTCTTTTTGAACAATTGGGTCTCAACCCTTTCATTGTTCCATCAACAATTTGTGAGTTCATGGAGGATAAAATTTGAACAAAACAAACCATTAGTAGAATTTAGGATTTATTGGAAATTGTTCTAATATAAAAATGATAGATACAAGCAAATACTTAATGATTATTTTAGCGAGCAAAAATGACTTATTCATAATTTTTCCTTTTATTGCAATTACCCTAGATTGTGAAGGATATTTTCGTAATATGGACTGATGTGGAAAAAATTAATTAAAACCTTTGGAAACGTTCTGACATGGGCAGCACAGTCATGGGCGGAGCTAGTAAGGAGCTCATTTTTTTTTTTTTTTAATTTTTTTTTATATGTACTGAGATATATAAATATTCGATACATGTATTGAGAGCTTATAGCAAAATAATGAGTTTTGATTGTTGGGCGTTCCGGATCAAACACTTCTGTTCCCATTGAATTCTGAGTTTGACACATTTTTTGTCTTTATTATTACTTTTTATTCTTTCATCGTACTTTAATACCACCTATTCTACGTCACTTACAAATTGATTTGACTACTCTTTTTTATTGATTGTTCTTTCCCAAGTCTTCTTCCTTTTTTTTTTTTTTTTTTTTTTCCGGGATATAACTGACGACTTGGGAAGAATTGTTCATGCTTGACATATGCAAATTAATTTTTTATCTAGCATAGCTAAGCTTTTTTTTCAAAAAGAGTAATAGGCACGGTCATAAACCTTATAATCTCATTAGTAAGTGTCTGTTAGAGTAATTTTTGACCGTTTTTTTTTGCACCCATTTTTTTATTAATTAAAAAAATAAATTCTTTATACAGCACGGTAATCCAATGGCATATTTTTTTTCATTTGCTAATCGTTGTATATGATTTTTTGGTGACTTGACCCGACATTAATGTTGCATTGAATCTGCTGCAATGGCTTGAATTCTTTATCCAATACTCTATAGGCCACTTGCCATTTTTTTCATTGCTAGTCGTTTTATATGTTTTATTTATTTTTAATTTTTTTTGTGACATGACTCGAAATTATTGTTTTTTTGATCAAATGAATATGCTCAGAATGAGTTGACCTCCAATTTTAGAAGAGAAGGTGCAAGTTTCTAGGAAAAGGATATTTTTAACTTAACAATTACCTATCCCGTTAAAAATTTTAAATCACACACACTGAGATCACACACATAAAGACAAAAAATGAGGGTTTTCAGAGAAAAAAAAAAGGTTTCGTGGATTCAATCTTCGTCTTCGTCTGAGTTTCATGGAGAACGATTTTCATCTTCGTCATCGTCTTCATCTGGGTTTCTGAGAGAGAGAGAGAGGAGATGGGAGAGTGATAAAAAAAATAAAATAAAAGAGGAGAGGGGTTTTTATAGTAATTACAAAAAATTCCCTCTTTTTGTTAATGGAGTTCGAATAGATGATCTCATCAAATGAGGTTGTGTGTGTGCACGTGCTTTCAATTTTTTTGTTTCTGAGAATATATTTTTTTTTGTTCCTTGTTTATAAAACAACTTATTTGATATAAAATAGAAACACAAACCCAAACATGTGTTTTATTTTTGTTTTGCCCAAAAGAACAAAAACACAAACTAAATGACCCCTACGTCCCTAATTCGAACTAACAACTAGCCCTATCAATAGATCGGAATCTTATCCGAATTCGATTAACTAGATATGAATTAATATTTTTTTAATCAATAATCAATAATCTAAATTCAAATTCATTATCTTATATTTCACGAGTTCGAATTTAGATATACCTATATGTAATCCGATCTGAATTATCTATATATATTTTTATATAAATATTTTCAAATTAAGTGGTTATATAAAGAAATTTAGGAATAGTTTGTTAAAAATCTGACTTTGTTACAACAGACTTCATTGTTAGTATTACACAAAGAAAATATCTGATAATTATGTATTGTCGTATAACAACGATAGATATTGGTTTTTTTGTTTAAATTTAATGATGCAAATAACACATATTGGTGAATTTCATGGCACGTCGGTGAACAATTTAATCAATAAGTTGCACCAGGATAAGGCCACGGTAGGTGGACAGGTACCGGGCTAAAAATTAAATTTAATCATTGATTTTGATACAAATTTGATACAAATTTCTATCTTTGAAGGTGCTAAAAATTAAATTTAAACCTTTAATGTATCAAAAGTATTTCAATACGACTATTTTGTTAGTTTTTCTGTTAATATCAATGCGTTATCTTTTGACTAAAAAAATAGAAGTTAACAAAAGATTTTTTTTTTGTCAATTTTAATATTAAAAAAAATAATTTTTGAAGATATAAAATAAGAATTTTGAAAATTTTCGGGTTATAAAACAAAATCTGGAAAATGAACTCTCTGAAATCGAACTCACTCCTGAGTCGTGACTACGGCTTCTGAACCACCACCACGACCTTCGACTCAGCACCCAAAAACCCCAAAATCTCTTATCTTCACATTCAAACCCATTCTATTTGCATTCTGCAAAAACCCTAAATGTCTTCACCAATGATCTAACCTTACACAAGATTATGAGGTAAGATCATCACAACCTTGCTTTATATCCACATTTTATTTTGTAATTTCTTATATCAATCAGTATTTGATTGAAATTCATCAGTTTTTGATTGCTTTGTATAGTTAAGTATCTGATTTTTTTTTTTTTTTTTCCGCTAGGAGGGAAATTAAGGATGAGTCAACCATCTGTGATCCTTGCAACGGCGAGCTGTGATCACACTATTCGGTTTTGGGAGGCCAAAAGCGGGCGGTGCTATCGGACCATTCAATACCCAGAATCTGTAAGTCGGTGAATCCTGATTTTTATTTAGGTTTCAATATTGTCTGATATGAACACATTCTTTATGCATATGTGTGTGGTTCTTGATTGTTTGTTGGGATGGGGTGAATCCATAAATACGTAACTTCACAGTTTTTTAGCTGTTTCATTTTTGTTTGGAATGATATTCCAACTTTTTGAAAATGGAAATGTGTACATGTGTATGAATGTGTGCGAATGGCTGGTAGAGATTGACTATTGTTGGATTGGAAGATGGGTGATTGGAGATGGTTGGTGCAGTGAAATCCCAGCTGAGATTCTTTATTTGTACCGAGATTTAGCATGTGGATGATGCTTTCCTAACAAGTGATTCGTTACAATTTCTTACAAAAAAAAAAAAAAAAAAAGGCTACGAGTGCTTTGAAAATTCGCAGGTCTGCAGTGACCATTTAACATTGGAAAGGATGGTAAATATGATAGCTTGAGTTTGTGTTTGGAGCATTGGCTTTTTCACATTAAATATTTCATTTTATTAGCTGAAAGATATGTGGCGAGAATGTTTGTGTTCTATTCTTCCATAAAGCTTTAGACTGGTCGTTGATAAGAAAATTCCATTGGTTTGGACAATTAGTAGTGCAAATAAATCTCTGGGTTATGTCCTAACCAGAGCTTCCCTCAACGATGGGCTTTTGAGGTTTAACCAGACTAGTTAATTGAGTTGCATTGGAGCGCCTCTATTTGCTCAAACATGTTGCATATGACTCTGTAAATGGAGGAACATAATGCACATCAGGATGAAATTCTACATGGTATGGAAGTTGGTACTAGTCACAATTTTCTATGGTCATGCGTGGTTAAACTTTTAGCATTTGACTTTTATTGTCAAATGGAAGGCTGCAATCTCTATTGGAATTTGAGTTTTCATGTCACATCTATAGTTAGTGGCCAAAATTTTGGTTTCAATGGGGTTTTCACAATTTACACTTATTACTTAGAGACCTGAAACATTTAAGATTTATGAAGCATTGATACTTCGTTCATGGTGACATATTCGATGCGTATCGGATATTTGATATGTGTTAGATACTTTTTGTACGTATCGAGTAATTAATAAAATATTTATTATTGTTAAATACTTGTCGGATACACCTTGGATACGTGTATCTCCACGGTGGATACATTCGCCTCATACTTAGTGAGGTGGATTGTGTAGAAACCATGAATTATATAAATGGGGATTTGTTTTTTTAAGACGTTCATTCGGATGTACATCACATATGTCACAAGATTCGTGAAGTCTTTATAATTTGTTTGCCTAAATAATGAGTTTTTATGACTCATGTCAAAGCCATTGAAGTTTGTTGAAATTAAAAGTAAAAGTTGAGGACTCTCGGATGATGGAAATTGAATGTATTCAGGTTCTAAAGATGGCACGGTAAAGAACTGGGATTTGAGGTACATTAATTATCATGCATAAAATGTAGTCTTTTTTTTTTCAACATTATTAAATAGGAATTATATCTATTCTCCTTTGGAATCAAAGCAGGGCTCCGGGTTGTCAGAGGGAATATGAGAGTCGGGCAGGTGTTAATACTGTTGTTTGGCACCCAAATTAGGTCATGTAACTGATCATTCGTGTAACATGGTTTTCAATTGGTTTTATGGATGTAAACTTTTTTCACCTTGCCTAAGGATTTTTTAAAATTAAATGTGGCCTTATTGTATTGTTGTTTGCGAGTACAAATTGTTGGAAATTTTAATTGCATCTTCCGCTAAGGTATACAATAACTCACATGTTTGTCGATCTAAGTAGACGATGGAATCCTAGAAAACTGGCCAATTATGACAACTTCTGGTTGTATTTGTAAAAACCTCTTAAAAGAACATGAAGAAGGATTTTGGTTCACAAACTTCTTTGAATTGGGTGGAAGTAAATGAAAGGATAATCACTTGATACGATTGTTAAGTTGTTTTGTACTCTAGTTGCACTTAGTCAGTTCATCAAACTGATTTATTCTGAATTGGGTGGAAGTAAATGAAAGGATAATCACTTGATACGATTTTTAAGTTGTTTTGTACTCTAGTTGCACTTAGTCTGTTGATCAAATTGTGGCTGGTTTTCTATCAGGAGTTTGACTTCGCGAGCTCAGGATAAAGTTGACTTGGGTGTGAATGTTTTAGGTCTATGATTAAAGATGTCAAAATGACCAAGCATGCACTTTAAACTGGATGAGTAGAATGTTTAAAGCAGCTATGGCTCCATGTCATTCTGCTTTCTTCCCATGTGTTTAGTCAGTCTGTGGACAAAGTTATTAGAGCTTGAAGCAATAGGAACTAATAACTTTCTGTCCTTTTGCTACATGTTTCGAATTGGACTTTTAAATACTTTGTTACTGTTTTTGGTACTTCTCTACGCATTTAAGTAACATACAATGCTGCTTGAGGTCATTAGTCTAACATTCTTATCTAACAGTAGTTTTGAGCCATTGCAGACTGAATTGATATCTGGGGACCAAAATGGCAATATTCGGGTATGGGACTTGACGGAAAATTCATTAAGTTGTTAGTTGGTTTGGGCTGATGTTTTGTACCTTCACTACATATTGCATCTCCTGCGTAGACCAGAGTCACAATCAAAAGTTGATGAAGTGGTCTTTTGCTTATCTATGTTTTGTTGCTCTATATTTTGATAAGAAAATTTGTGCGCATTGATGGTCCCAAAACTTTGTTTCATTGTCTTGGTGAAAATCTATGGTTCTTTGTTATATTTTATTTGGTGGGTATGTGGATGTTTGCCTTCTGGTGCTCTCTCAATCTCTCTTAAAGAGGTAGGTATGTATCAAAATCTTTTTATTACCTATGGTGTAAACACAGGTGCCGGAGGTCGATACAGCTGTAAGGTTTTTGACAGTAATTTGGGATGGAAGCTTGGTCGTGGCCGCAAACAACCATGGAACATGCTATGTTTGGCGCCTGTTGGGAGGAACGCCAGTATTATTTTCATGAATATAAGTCTTAGATGTTATATTCATTGTAAGTTATGAAATTATTATTTAAAACTTATATTGTGTCCTATTGCAGACTATGACCAATTTTGAGCCACTTCATAAGTTGCAAGCTGATGATGGATATATTCTTAAGTGCCTCCTGTCACCCGAGTACTGTGAGCCCCATCAGTTAGATCTCTTGACTTGCTTTTCCCCCACCCACTCTTTTTTTTTTCTCCAATATTTGCAGCTTTCATCCTATTGGTAGTAGTCTTAGTGTTAGAGACATTTCTTTTTTGGATTCACTTTTTGAAATGGCTCTTTCTAGGTACCTAGCCACTGCATCTTGAGACCATACTGTGAAAATATGGAATGTAGATGGCTTCACCTTGGAGAAAACTTTAGTAGGTATGTATCAGAGCCTCATCCAAATGTTCACTCTGTTTTGTTTACTTTTTTTAGTTCTCATACTAGTTTTTTATTTTGGGAGGGGGAGGGGGGGGGGGGGGGGGAAGGGGACATACTAGTGGCATCAATCTTATTGGTTTTCCCAGGACATCAACGTTGGGTTTGGGATTGTGTCTTTTCTGTAGATGGTGCTTATCTTATCACAGGTATGACTCTGGAAGTATGGGAAAACCTGAAAGCCAAGCGGTCCTCAGAACGAACACATTATTCATTATAAAGGAGTGAACAAACATATAACCAGGACCCAAATGATGGGTCCTTGGGTACATACAACCATTCAGAATAGCTTATTGCCTGCTATTTTATTCGGTTAGTTGCCACTGGGATTTTCTTATTTCAGAAAAGAGAAAAATTATCTAAATTGGGGAAAAGAATACCATTGCCCTATTTGTTGCTTATTAACGGAGGGTTTTGAGAGGGCAGACAGAGTATAGACTCTATAGACGTGATCTTTGGCACTAGTTGCCCAATATGGCTACCCTCCTATCTGAACCCGTAACCTTACCCAAAGATTTCGATCCAAGTTATAATGCCATTTATTCCACTTCATCTTTCTTTTTTTTTTCTTTGTTTTTTTTGAGAATATCCACTTTATTGTAGATCATAGTTTTAGGTCTATTATGCTTTTGCACAGATGCAGCTCCTACATCCTACATACAACTTCAAGATGTAAGATTGCTAATATCATGTCGAATCTACTTACAATCCTAGATCACTTCTGTTTAAACAGCTGTTTTATCCTCTATGATATGATGGCTTTGAACCATCTCTTTCCTTGTTGAAAAGCACGATGACATATTGAAGTTATGCAGTTCAAAATCCAGTATCATTTGAATGTTCTATTTATGAAGTGAGGCTCATAAGATGTCTCAATGCTTGAGAAACCATTTTTATAGATTTTTGCTTTAGTCTAAAGGTGCTTTCAAACTATATGGGTTCCCCATCTGTCTCTGTTCAAAATATCTCGAGTTTTTATCTATGCAGCTTCTTCTGATACAACGGCAAGGCTTTGGTCTATGTCTACAGGGGAAGATATTAGAGTGTATGAAGGGCATCCTAAAGCCACAGTTTGCTGTGCTCTCAATGATGGGGCGGAACCCTCCTCATACTGAACCTGAAAAAAGGCTAATCTTTTATTGAGATGCAAAATCCTCCGGCACCATGTCATTGCACTTGCTTGCGCGCACATCTGCAAAATATGTTCGCTATGTCTGGGAGAGAAAATTCTGTACTTCTATGGTTATTTCCCGTTTTAGATTGCTGCTTGGGTTACCCCCCCCCTATTTTTTTTTTGTACAGATCTACAGTCTTGTCTGGGAATGCCGGTATCTTTTGGTCCCGTTGGAACCTGTACGGAGATCACTACATTGACAATAATTGATAGTTGAGGATTAGAAGTTGCTTGCTGAAACAGGGATGCAGTTGTTCTATTGTCATATTGGTGCATTTCGTTTACTGGATTAATTATCCATTGCGATTATAATTGCAGTTAAAGAGGGAAAAAAATGGTTGATTTTGACGTAATTGATATAATTGCTTTTGATCATAAAATAAAACATGCTTTTTTACTCTCTCTCTCTCTCTCTCTCTCTCATACACATATAGATCTCTCTTCCTCTCTCTCATACACACATAGCTCAATTTATGCATCCTGTAATTCAAGGGAGACGGACAACATCGAGTGGTTTCCACACAATCACGTACGGTGGTCTTACTACTGTAATGATTACATTAAAAAATATTTTTATAATTTTTAGGATTATTTTTTAATTAAAAAATTTATAATTTTTACGTGTATTTTTATCACTGCTACGAGTTTTTCTTATCATATTTGTGAATATTTTTACTATTATTTTTTTTCGGTAAGTATATTTTTTCCACTATTGTAATGATTATTTTTATCATTTTTCTAAGTACAACAATAATAATAAAAGTATTTATAAATATGATAATAATAGTCATAAATATAATAAATAGAAGTATGATACCCAATGTTTTTTATTTTTTTGATACCGTAGTCCCCAATAGTGGGGTGGGGATTTTATTGTCGGTGGCTGTACGTGTTTGGACCAGATTTATTGTTGAATGTGAGCCAATCCCATCCAACAATTTGTTGATGATACTAAATTTTAAATTAAATAATTTATAGTTGTTCATTAAAAAATAGTAAAATAAATAAAAATGCACACTTGACAAATTTTCATTGACCGAAAAGTGAAGGTGAAGTACAAAAATAATAGTTCAATGTCAAAAATTTTACAATTGAGAGTACAAAGTGAAACAAAGAAATAGTTCAGGAGGATAAAATGTAATTTATCCCAATTATTGTCACTTGCACTAGAGTTGTTATGCCGGGGGACCATAACTTGGATTGTCGTACTCTCCTCTTTTATGAGCCGAAGTTTGTGGATGAGTTTTTTCGAGTTATTTTTTACACAGGTGATTTTAAAATAAAATTATTAAAATATGATATGCTTTAAATGTATTTATTAAAGTATGTCATTTTTGAAAAAAATGGAGTTATTGACCCTATTTATTTGATAAAAGGGGGATTGATGACTCTGCTTTTGTTAAAAAAACAGAGTCAACATTCTTGTTTTTAATGATTGGATGGAAAATATTATTTATTATTTTAGTCAAATGTCAAAAGAGGGTAGTAAGCTTTATGAATTCACTCTTAAAAGTGAGGTTTTTGACTCTACTATTTAAAAAGTGTCATAATTCAATAAATAAGTTTAAAAAATAATATTTTAGTAAATTTGTTTCACAATTATGCACCCAACTTATCTAAAAATAACATAACTTGTTAGTATGAACGATATAACACTTTTGTTACAACTTGAATTGAGTTCGAATCAAACATAAAAAATCAGACTTTGTTACTACAGACTCGAGTGTTAGTATTACACAAAGAAAATATTTGATAATTATGTTTTGTCGTATAACATCGATAGATATTTGTTTTTTGTGTTTAAATTTAATGATGCAAGAAACACATATCGGTGAACTTCATGGCACGTCAATTAACAATAGGTTGCACTAGGATAAGGCTATGGTAGGTGGAGTGGTACCTTGTTAAAAATTAAATTTAATCATTGATTTTGATTTGAATGATACATAAGCAAAGATGTTGGCTTTTGATTTGACTTGAAGGATACATAATTATTGATCGAAATTCGCTTAATTTTTGTTAAACGAATTGGGATATGAATATATCTGTATAATAAAACACATAGGAGTTTGAAAGTTTATCCCAAATATATTTTTCTCCTTAAAAACATCACATCATCCAATTTTATCGCATGTATTATCATTTAACATTTGATTAATTTGTAATTTAACACAATAATAAGATACATAAGATTTTGAAAATTTATCTCCTATGCATTTTCTCTCCTAAAAATATCGTATCATTCAATTCTATCACACGTTCAATCATTTAATATTTGATTAATTTGTAATTTAATTTAATTTTTATTTCATATGTTGTTCGTACACGATAGTGTACACACTTCAAAAAAATTTTGTCGGGTTATACATTTTTAGAAAATTTAGACGCAATTTTTTAAAAAATAAGAGGTAAAATTAATTTTAAATGATGTAATGAAAGAAATGAAGAAATAAAAAATTATTACTTAGTATAGTAGGATCAATTTTTGAACGCTCGAATCTTATGTTTAATCATACCTTAGCTAATATATTCATATCATACATTCGCTAATATATTCATATGACCCAATAAGAACCCGAATAAAATTATACGTAGCCGTATATGTATTAAAGCACAAAAGCCATATCACCCACCCCTGTCCTGTCTCTGCCACTGCTACTTTTCCCCTTCTTTTTTTTTTTTTTCACTTTTTGTTGTTGAATTAGGTGCATAGATGACGAAATTAAATTAGAATTATTGGAATTGGGTGATTTATTGATGATACTGAACTGAAATTTAATAATAATTTGGTCAAATTTTTTATTGCTTGAGATAATTTTCTTCGGATCAAATCGAATTATTTGATCGGATATTTAATTATTAATAAATTCAAATTTTAGTCAGATTATTGGTTCGGATTCGAATTCAATTTTTTTGACGGATTAGGATTCGGATTGATTGAGATCCGGTACGAATCCAATCTGTTGACAGGCATGAATGACGGAAGAAATATTATACTGTTTTAGAACTATTTTGTTTTCTTCGTACTGGTACAACTGTGAGTAGACAAAAATAGCAATTCTCCAACTAATCATACATTTCCAAATTCCCCCCGAGAGCAAATACTTTTACCAAGAGCAAGATTTAAATGATCTATCGCCACAACTTAAACAGATCGTATAATTACATTCTAGACATTCTAGATTATATAATCTATTCTGACCGCACTTACTACACTTGGAATACGGATTCTTTCTTTTAAGAAACATGAGACGGTGAGGGTGATCTCTAATTTGAACGGTGCCACCAAGCTTGTAGTTCGCCCAGAGATTCTCGACGCAGCTAGGATGAAATGACTGATCGCAATCGCGACAATGATATATCCAAAACATTGGATTTATTTCATCCTCACAATATTCACAATGAAACTCATCTGGATGGTCAAAATAAGGAGGATAGCTCAAGATGAGAGGATGTTTGTCCCATCTGTGATTGATAATATGTGGGAGTACAACACAACGGGTGCATATATAGAACTTGCATTTACGACATCCGAATCTAATCCCAGAGAAAGTAATGCCACATGCATTGCAATTATACCCCGAGCTTTCACTTTGAAACGAGGGGTGCTTGTGGGCTTTATGTGCATAAGCTTCATCAGCTAAACACGCACATTTGATGTCAAGAAAGAAGTCACATGTTTCACATCTGTAGCCGAATACATTGTGGAATGCTTGGCACAAGTTGCACTGAAAGGTATCATAGATCTTCTTCGAACAAGCCAAATAGAGCGGGTGTTCAAGGTGACTAGGATGTTGCAACTCCTCCGGTAAGTAGATACAACTTAAATGAAGACAGTAATTGCAATGACTACAGCTATAAAATGGACTGGAGATTGGTTGCACACAACAATTGCACAATATTTTTTCATCCTTTGTCTCATTGTGGCCTTGCACTTCGGAAAGAATTAGTGGATGCTCATGGCCAAAATATTCTACATCTGTTTCTCTTTCTCTCTCTTCAAGGTCTAATTGCTCCAAAAAAAAATTTATGATATCTCCGAAACCATCGGTCACCGGTAAATGGATCACATTGGAGTCGAGTAGTTCATCGACTTCATTCTCATCTTCACTCCCTCTGAAACCGTACAATTTAAAAATTAAAATTTAGTTAACAATTACAATATCATTGCAAAGAATTCATTAAACACGGGAAGGGGAACTTACCTAACACTCTCTGAATCTAAATATGAAGTTGCGCATTTTAGATGGACAAAGTATTTACATAGGCCACAGTAATAAGCCCAAGTATCTTCAACAATGAGCTTACGACATAAATTGCAGTAGTGTCTGAAATTGGTTAACTCGAGGTGTTCCTTGACAAGGACAAGAGGGTGCTTGTGATCACCAAGGTTGATGGTGCGAGGTAATGAAGCACAAGTTTTATGAATCCAAAAATGGCAAGTGTGACAAGCATAGGATGTGTCCATATCTTCACTGCCACAACCATTACAAAAGAACGATGCTGGTCTAGATATGGCAACCATTGGGTGCTCGTGACTTGTGTGCATAATCGTGCGTTCCTCTAAGAAGCATGAGATGCAAAGGTTAAATTTGCAAGAACTACAAAAGTAGTTGAACAGATCCAAATCTTGTCGACATGCATTACATATGTATGACGAAGAAGACGGATAAGGTGAACATCCATAGAGAGTGAGAAGGTGTTGGGGGTGCACAGGGTCATTAATTTCCTGGGGGAGTTCCGCACATCTTTTGTGGAGGAAGTAATCACATTGGCTACAACTATACATAGAGTCCTCTACGATTGGTTCCTCACACCCATAGCATATAATCCTCTCACTTTCAGCCTCTTGCACTTCTTTGAGAATCAGTGGATGGTCCTTATGGCTGAAATGTTGAAGCTCCATTTTCATGCAATGGGGGTTTGTTTGCACACAAATGGAAGCCAGCAAGAGAGAGGGAGAGAAGGTCGGGTTTTAAAGGGTAAGATACCACATGAGACTTCAACTTAAGTAGATGGATATGAACAACTACGAAAGGGTTTTATTTTTTAATTTCACTAGCAATATATTAAATGTCCACTTGTAAAAGAGTTGATTAAGATTAAACAATAATTTATTGAAAAACGTCGGTGATAATAATATATTAATAAATGCAAAATTTGTTTTGTTTAGATTTAGTGATGCAAGTAACAACCACCACACAGCCTATTGGTGAACTTCATGTCATATCGATTTGAAAAATATTATCGATAGGTGGCACTAATATATATAGCTAAAAACCCAAAGTTGTTCAACTATCAAGACTGAAGATAAGGTCATATTCATGTGCTGTTATTTTGAGTTTGAGTATTCGTTAATACTAATTTAATAGGGCTTTGGTCCATAAACTTTGTCTTTTGTTTTAATTTGATTCTTGAACTTTCAATTGTCTAAATTTGGTCTCTAAAAACAAATTTTTCTTAATTAACTCTTTCCATCAATTTTCACCGTCAGATCAGGTGGAGACTAGCCTAGTCTAATCTATTTTAGTGTTGATCTAATGGTGAAAATGTACGGAATGACTCAATTAAGACAAAATTTATAATTGAAGGACTAAATTGAAACAATTAAAAGCTTATGGACCAAATTGAAACTAAAAACAAACTTTAAAGACTAACTATGATTTTTTCCTAATATCTATTTTATTAAACGTAATAAATACCTTGAAAATAATTCAATAATTTTATTAATCATGTCATGTATACCGATACCAATAATTTAATATCAAAGGATTAGGCGAAGAAAAGAATAGTCTTACCAAGTCTTTTCTTATAAATTGTTTCTACCCAAGCCTCTTCCATTTGTCAGGCTTTTCTAATAATTTGTTTCTTCCCAAGGCTTTTCTAATAATTTATTCTTTGTGCCTTACATATGCGTAAGCCACTTGACAACTTTTTCATTTGTTGGTCATTTTATATTGTTTTTTGGTGACCTAATTGATAATTATTGCTATTTTTTTTATTAATGGGACCCACAAACCACTCACATTGGAAAATTATGACCAAGTGAGGGCTGTAGAATTGATTAAATACTCACACACACATCCAAAGGTTGTCTGATGTGGGATATCCCCATAATTATTGTTATCTTGAATCATTGAATCTGCTGCAATGAATTGATTTCTTTATTCCATTACCATAAGCCACCCACCCTATTTTCTAATTTTTTTATTAAACATTATTAACAAGAGAAAGTGACAAGTTTAGAATTCTAGACATTAAAGATCAACAACTTGCTAGTTGTTTTATGTGGTTATAGGGACCTTACCCACAATTATTCCCGCTTTTAATCTTTGTTTATGCTCAAAATGAGTTGGCATTTAATTCTAAAACGCGTGGATTTCGAAGAGAGATTAAATATACATACTTAGACACATATGCATGTGTTTGTGCGTCTACATTAGACCATTTTTCAATAAAAACTCAAACTTTTATTTAAATTTGAGTAAAAAAAGAAGTAAAAAGTTTAATTTGGTATAGACATCTCTAATAGAAAAGCCCAAATTTAAATGAAAACAAACTCAAATTTAAAAACGGGTGAAATATGACCACTGAATCTTTAAAGAAGAATGAAATCTCGCTATTAAGGATTTGACTATGAATTTAAATTTCGCTTGATTTGAGTAAAAAAATAAGTTTCTCTTAATTTAATATAGGTATGGTCTAACATTGAAGAATATTTTTAAGAGTTTTAAATTTGGATTTTAAAAGGTTAAGGACTAGAAATGCTCTTATAGATCAACAAATATGTCCTATGAAGAAAATAATGACGTGGTGCATTATTCAATGTTGTTTATGATCTGATTAAAATTCGAATGTCATTGATCATTTATGAATTGATATTTTTCAATGAGAATTTGAATCCAAATTACTGATATAAAAATACGTATCCAATTCAAACTACTGATATCTATACATCTATTTATATATCCTATTTAAATATAGTTAATTGTATGAGCTCTAAATCTTATATACTAATTTTTAAAATTATTTTTTACAAAAAATATATTTTAATTTACACATGGCAGTATCTCTCACTCTACTTCAAACTCCCTAGTACTCTTATCTACCTTTTGTCATCAAGTACTAAATTTTGTATAATGTTGAATTATTCAAAACATTCCACGTAGCTTATATAACTACTATCACAAAAATATTTTAAATTTGAATTATTTATCCTCCTTAGCACAATAATGAGTAATTGCTCAATAATACTAAGAGTAGCGGTGGGGATGAGTGGGGTGGAGTTGGGGGTGAGGGTGACAACACGGTTGAATTGTAATGAGACTGGAAAAAGATTAAAAATACCATTTATCGCATGAGGCGTTGTTAGTACATGATATATAGCAATGTAGTTGGCTTAAATGAGCTCCAAAATCTTAAACTATTTTTTTTTGAATATATTATTTTAAAATTATCAAATTTGGTTTGACTTTATTTCATTAGCCCTTTTTTGAATAACTAAATTCTTACTTAATAACATAATTCATAAAATTTCTCAATTGTCCCAAATTTCTCTTCCATCATCTCCCCCTTTCCCGTCTCTCTCTCACACACATATTCTCTCTTCTCTAAATCTATATTTATTACATACTGTAGCAATCAATTTAGGCAAGAAATGGTGCTTATGAAATTTTTTCTATTCATGTACTTAGATTTGTTAATTTTAAATTATTTAATAACAATGTATCGATCTCATCAAATTAAATCATTCTATATGGCTTATGTAACTATTCCCACACAATTACTTTATTTCGTTCTTCTTAATTCAACAATGAGGGGTAATTTTCCAAAAACAATAGGGTCGGGGTTGGGGGGAGGTGGCAATGGATAGTGAAGGTGAGTGGGAGGGTGGGGTTGGCAGTAACGATATTAAAATTGTGTTGGAAGAGATTGAAAATACCGTGCTTCGCATGAGACGCCGCTAGTAAAGATATGTTACAAAGTTAAGTGACTATTTGACTAAATCCAGTTGAAATTGGAATATAATTTGCTCAAATTAAGTTTAATTGAGTAATTGGTATTGAATCAAAATTTTTCATCACATTTCAATTCAATCCAGATGTGAACTAAAAATCTAAGGGATATTTGGATTTAATTTGAGTCGTTATATAAATCGAATTGAAACTAGGCGAAATTCAACTCAAATTCAATCCACAAGCACAAATATATTCACAATTTGTGTTTCAATCATCACATTTGATGAATCTCTTGTAGATGTAATAATAATAGTGATCTATCGATGCATATCAAAAATTCAGATTTGACGCCACAAGACAAGAGCTATGAGACCCCCAAATTGAATCACCCTTCCTTTGTTATTTAGGTTTATGATAGAGCATAAAATGTTTATATATATATATATATATAATTTTTAAAGGTCAAGTTATAATTCAAAAAAGTTATGATCGCCTTGTAATAATCCCAATTATATTTTTCTTATTAGGGATAACCTCTGTTTGAAAGCATGGTACAACTTGAATAATTTTGAGAAGGATGTTGATGGCCGTTAGATGTTTTTATTTGATACCTTCCAATGAACTTTTTAAAATCTATCTTGTTTTATATTATAGATATCAAAAAGCGCTATTGTGTTCAATTAGATGTAATTTGTCCATTAAAAATTATAATTTAACTTTCAGAAATTGTAATTTTAAGAACGGCACCGAAAAAAAAATTTCATACCATAGAGTAACCTTGTATTTAAATGGTCCAGTGAATAGAGAAGAAAACGTAACGATCCCATGTTAGTACAAAAATTCTTCCTTAATTCATTCGAGCAATGCATCAATCCCAACAGCACAAAGGCTGATATAGGAAAACAAATGGCTTTACATCCCCTTCGGTACTTTTTGTTGGGATAATTACACTTAGACCCTTAAAATTTATTATTTAATTACTCAGACTCTTAATATTAAAATTATTACACACAAACTCTCTAAAGTTTGTACGCAATGTGTAGACTTCTGCCATTAAATATCCGTTTGTATATTCGTTACTAAATTACACTCAGACTCCCTAAAATTTGTAGGCGTATAATAGTTAGACCTCTTAATTTTAAAATGTTATATTTAGACAAAAAATACTTCAATAAAAGAAAGAATATCAAATATTTTAAATTTTAAAACCAGAATTCATGTTCTATTGTATCATTTCTCGAAATAAAATAAAAAATTAAAAGCCATTTTTTTCTTAAAAAATCGTAATTAGTATAAAATTATACTATTTATTGAAATAAAACTAAAAAATCAAATAAGGGGTTTAAGTCATTCATAATAGAATATGAATTTTACAATCAAAATTTATGTTCTATTTTGTCATTTATTGAAATAAAATTAAAAAAAAATCTATTTTTTTCTTAAAAAATCATAATTAGTATACAATTATACTATCTATTAGAATAAAATTAAAAAATCAAATAAGAGGTTGAACTATAATGGGCACAATATATTTTACCTTTAATTGAGGTAATTTGGGGTTTAATTTGATCATTTAAATAACCAAATTAAATTTTAATAGATAGTATAATTATATACTAATTATAACCTTTTAAGAAAAAATTAGTTTTTTATTTTTAATTTTATTTCAATAAATGTTATAATATAAAATTAATTTTGGTTGTAAAATTTAAAATATTTGATATTCTATATTTGATTGGAGTATTTTTGGTCTAAGTATAGCATTTAAAACTTCAGAAGTCTAAATATTACACGCCTACATAGTTTAGAAAGCCTGGATGTAATTTACTAACGGATATATTAACGGACTCTGATAGCAGGGGTTCAAGTGTTATGTGTATAAATCTTGGAGGGTCTGTATGTAATATTTCAAAAGTGAAGGAGTTTGAGTGATTAAGTTATAAACCTT